AGGCGTCTCTGAGAGGCGTCCCTGAGAGGCGTCGCTACGACATCTCTGAGAGGCGTTTTACAGGATCCTGGGGATTTCCAAACAAGAACCTGCAGGAATGTGCACGAGGACTGTGGTGCACGCGGGTGCTGTGGTGTACACAGATTTTGTGGTGCAGCAGAAGGATAAAGGGTGATGGTGATGGTGAAGGTGGTGGTGATGGTGATGATGGTGATGATGGTGATCATGGTGACGATGATGATGACGATGGCAGAAATATGATGACGATGGTGATCTTGGTGATGCTGATGATGACGGTGGTGGTGATGATGGTGATGCTGATGATGAGTCTGTGAGCCCTCTGACCCTTAGATTTTTAAACTCATAAGCCCCTAAACCCTTAAGCCCGTGAATCCTAAATCCCTTAAGCCCCTAAACCCTTAAGCACTTTAAGGCCTTACACCTTCAACTACCTAAAACTTAATCCCTTCAAGCCCGTAAGCCCTTAAAACCCTTCAAGCATGGAAACCCTAAACCTCTGAGCCCTTTAGGACCGTAAACCCTTAAACACCTAAACCTTAAACTCTTTAGGTCCTTAAGCCCTTGAGCCCTTAAGCCATGAAGCTCTTAAACACTTAAAGTTTTAAGTGAGCCCTAAAACCCTTAAGCACTGAAACCCTTAAGCCTTTAAACCTTTGAACCCTTAAACCCTCAAGTCCTTAAACCCTTAAGCCCTGAAACCCTTAAGCCTTGAAGCCCTGAAAACCTTAAATCCTTTAGCAATTAGACTGACATCCATGGAACAAGCGAGTATACATTCGAACCCAGGCAATCAAGTTAGCTTCTGGAATACACGTGCAGACATGAGCAACTGATTTGCTTTTGGGATGCCCTAACGTCGGCTCACAATAATACGCAAACGGTGACGTTATTTGGCTGGTTGGCATTCGTACCAATTTGTCTTTTCGAGCTGGTTAGAACATGCATCAATTGGTTGGGATTAGTCCCGGTCTGTCGGAATTAATACCGCTAAAAAAACAAGGCGTGCGTACTCACACATATATACACACATAGAACCACGCGCGCGCTTCGCGCGCTTAGGTTCTAGCTAGGAGGCGAGCTTGAGTCAACGAAAGTCGCAAGGAAGGGGGCAGGGGGAAGAAGGCCAGAGAGCGCTGAAGGATACAAATACTGGAACCCTCTTGTGATTTTGTGGGGGGCCTCGTCCGGCCGCTCGCTGGGAGTTTGACGTAGCTTCTCGGGAGCCTCTGAACCTGTCGGGGGCCTCCTGGAAGCAGGTTCGAAGCATTTTGGGGGCCGATTTGGGGCTTCTCGGGGCCTCCTTTGGGCCTCTTGGGGGTCTCCTGGGGCCTCTTGAGGGGCCTCCTTGGGGCCTCCTGGCGGCCTCTTGGGGCGGAAGGCTCGAGCTTGCGGTTCGTGGTCCCCCTCTGGGCCCCCTCTTGGGCCCGTCTTGGGGCCCTCTTGGGCCATCTTGGGCGCCTCTTGGGCCGTCTTGGGGCCCTCTTGGGCTGTCCTGGGGCCCTCTTGGAAGCTTCTTGGGCCGTCTTGGGGCGGTCTTGGAGGCCTCTTGGGCCGTCTTGGACGCGGTGAAAGCCCAAGATGCGAACATGCGAAAAATATACGTTTTCCCATAGGAATGGCACGATTTTTGTTTCTTGGACCTCTTGGGGTGCCTCTCGGAACGTCTTGGGCTGATTTTGGAAGCCTTTTGGCGCCTCTGGGTGGCGTTTTGGCGCCTCCTGGGATATGTTGGGCCGGAAGCTCGGAATTCGAGAGTGGCTTTCTCCTTCTGGGACCCCTCTCGAAGTCGTCTTGGGGTTCTCTTGGGCCGTCTTGGGGCCGTCCTGAGCCACTCGTGCGCAGCCTTGGAGCGCTCCCGGAGGCCTCCTAGGCCGTCTTGGAGGCCTCTTGGGCCGTCTTGGACGCGGTGAAAGCCCAAGATGCGAACATGCGAAAAATATACGTTTTCCCATAGGAATGGCACGATTTTTGTTTCTTGGACCTCTCTTGGGGTGCCTCTCGGAACGTCTTGGGGTGCTTTTGGGAGCCTTTTGGCGCCTCTTGGCGGCATTTTGGCGCCTCCTGGAGCCTCTTGGGCCGGAAGCTCGGAATTCGAGGTTGGCTTTCTCCGTCTGGGACCCCTCTCGAACTCGTCTTGGGGCTCTCTTCGGCCGTCTTGGGGCCGTCCTGGGACACTCGTGCGCAGCCTTGGAGCGCTCCCGGAGGCCTCGTAGACCGTCTTGGGCGCCTCTTGGGCCGTCTTGGACGCGGTGAAAACCCAAGAGGCGAACATGCGAAAAATATACGTTTTCCCATAGGAATGGCACGATTTTTGCTTCTTGGGCCTCTCTTGGGCTGCCTCTCGGAGCGTCTTGGAGGCTTCTGGGACCTTCTTGGTGTCATGACAGGCGTCTTGGAAGGCATCTGGAGCCATCGGAGCGCGTTTCGAAGCCGCCTGCGAACGATCTTGGACGGCGTCCGGCGGTCCGACGAGCCTCCGGGCCCCCCGGAGCCCACATTTGTGGTCGGGGTCCCGGCCCCGGGCCCCCGGACCTGGTGCGCCGTTATATGTATACATACGTACACACATATCTGTTATATAGTTTCTGTTTTTTGTTTTTTTCTCCCCCCCCCGAATCCTGGGAGTGGGAATCCCCGCCAAAAACGCGACTCCCTGGATCCTTTGCCCCGGGGCCCCCTGGACGCACCCACAGAAGGTCCCCTGGGCTTTCTGGGGCTCCTGGAAGCTCTTTCTGGGCCGAGGCACTGGACCCACATCGGCCAGGAGGGCGGCTGGACGGCCCCGCGGCCCCGCGAGAGCCCCAAGAGGCCCCAGATGCCCACCAGATGTTCGAAGACGACCCAAAGACCGCCCGAGAGGCATTCGAAACGCAAGAACACACACATTTTTTCTTTATCTCTCTCTCTCTATATATATAATTCTTAAAATATTTTAATCTGATTTTCGGAGTGCTCTGTTCTTCGGTCTGCCGGGCGTCCGAGACCGCCCAGGAGGCCAGAACATCGCCCCCAAACTACCCGAAAGGGCTTCCAGGCAGCCCACGAGCGCCCCACGACTGGCCAACAGGGACCCAAGATGGCCCGAAGAGAGCCCCATGACGGCACAAGATGGCCCCAAGACGCCCCCCGAAGCACTCCAAATCGTGACTTGGTCGTTAAGGGAGGCCGCGGTTGGAAGCAGGGTGGCCCGAGGAAGCCCCCAGATGCCTCGCGAAAGAACGCAGGAGGCCTCCAGAAGGCCCCTAAGTAGCCCTTGAACACGTAAGTGAGGCTCCCAAGAGGCTCTCTAAGGAAGAGCCTCCGCAAAAAGAGTCAAGGAGGATGGGGACACATTCACAGGGTAGGGCGAGAATGAGGAAGGTGAAGCAGCAGGGAAGGATACTTTAATAACATCATTCGAACGACGATGTCGGACAAACGGCAACACTGAGTTATCGCTGAATGTGCAGTTTTACCTTCCTGCCCTTCCGCCCGCATGTCAAGCACGAAAGACTCAGGTGCATGGCGCGAAACGCCACTGCAGGTATGTATGTATGTATGTATGCATGCATGTATGCTGTATGTCGGTATGTCTGTATGTCTGTATGTCTGTCTGTCTGTCTGTCTGTCTGTCTGTCTGTCTGTATGTATGTTTGTATAGCGATTTGTTTGAGCCTATTTGCACACCAACATCTACATGTCTATCGATCTCTCTGTATACATATACAAGACTGCATTGGCGCGTCGTGCCATGCACCTTCGCTTTTCAGGTTTGGCATACAAGCGGAAAGAGAGTAAACACAGTAGATACAGCGATCACTCACTGTTGCCTTTTACGGCATCGTAATGTTATTCCTTCTCCTTCCCTCATGTTTCCTCGTCTTCTCCCTCATTCTTTGCCCTACCCTGCGAACATTGACAGTATGCTCCCCAGCTCTTTTTGCGGAGGCTCCACCTTGGAGAGCTTCTTGGGGGCCTCACGAAAGCGTTTAAGGGCCTCTTGAGGCCTCCTGAAGCCTCCTGGGCGCCTTCTGGGGTATTTTGCGGCTTCCTCGGGCCACACTGCTTTTTATCGCAATCCCCCTGAAAGACCAGGTCCCGATTTGGACTGCTTCGGAGGCGTCTTGGGGCCATCTTGGGCCGTCATGGGGCTCTTTTCGGGGCCTTGTTGGACCGTCTTGGGGCCGTTTGGGTCGTTTCGGAATGATTTTCAAGCCTCTTGGGCGGTCTCGGGCGCCCAGAAGACCGAGTATGCCTCAAATGACGCAAACACCAATTGGAAATTCATGTTTCTTGGGGATTCCAAAGCCTCTTGGGGTCATCTTTGGGTCTTCTTCGGACGTCTGGTATGTGTCTGGGGCCGCTCGGGGCTCTCGCTGGGCCGCTCGGCCGCTCTTCTGACGGATTTGGGCCCGCTGGCTAGGCCCAGCAGGGGCGTCCAGGGGGTCCCCAGGGCCGCGGATCTGGGGGTCCTGTTTCTCTTGGGGGGGGCTTCGCCCTACCCTGGATTGTAAGACTCTATAACGAGGGATCTGCCTCTTCGTTTGGGCTTCGCGAAACCTATCCCCACCTTGGAGGGTGGGCCTGTCGGGCGAAGATACCATGGCCAAGTGCCAATGGGGACGGGTTCCCAGACATCGGACGTCTCGATGTCTTGACTACGGGGCCCCCCTGGAAGCCCCGACCCGTTCCCTAGGACCGGCTCCCCATCCCGAGCCGTTTTGACGGTCCTGGAGCCCGGCCCAGGCCTGTCAAAGGCCGAACACGGCAACAAACCTCCGTCTGTCTTGATTTTCCCAATGCGTGGGATCCCGGGGGTAGAGTTAGGTCGGGCACGTTATCCTCCAGGCGGATTTTCGAGGAAGATTCGAGCATAGTCAAAACACATTCAACAGGAGCCAGAAATAGAAGGAACATCGCCCCCAGACGACTTCTGGACCATTCTTGAACGTTGCTCCTGTGGAGGGACACGCCCGACGTGAGGTTAGACGATGCTGAGCCTCCAGCCCGCCGGACAGCCTCCAGGCCTCGGCCGCGCAAGGCGGCGACCCAGACCGCGAGGGGTCCGCCGGCGCTGGTGGCGGGGGCTCCTCGCAGGCCTGGTGGTGCGCTCGCCCCCTCGTCGGCGCGAGCGGCGTCGGCAGAGCGGCAGCCAGCCGGCTGTCGGCTGCCATGCCGACACCGGTGTGCTGGGCGTTCGGCATCCCTCGGCTGCACGCAGGGGCGGCCCCAGGCAGGAGTGGCCTCTGGTGCGCGGCTTGCGGGGGCCTGCTGGGGAGGCCAGGTCAACGCAGTCCAAGCGCGCCGGCCAGTGCTGGCGGGACCCCTGTGGGCCCGCACCAGAGTCAGTCCAGCGAAAAGTCACTCTTACGCGTAGCCCAATGCGGGGCCAGAACGAGTGACTTGCGCCAAAGTGGCTGCCCAAACATCTGGTGGCCTGATCTTTTCAATGCGAGGTCTCCAGGAAAGCCCGATCCTCTCCCCAAGGCCGGTTTTTTCACCCCGAGCTTTTTTGGACGGTTCCGGGGCCTGGCGAGGGCCCCCAAAGGCTGAAACCAGCCACAAACCTTCAGTCGTGATTTTTTCACGACGCGAGCATGTCCGGGTACAGAAGGGGCAAACGAGAGAGGGAAGGTGATGGGAGAATGATCGGCGGCGAGCCCAGGGGGGAGGTGAGAAAGGGCGGGCCTTCTCAGAAGTCTCGGAACTCAGAAGGCGCGATGGCTTCTGAGAAGTCCCGCCGCCTTCCGAGAAGGCCTTCTACTTCTCACTTCTCCCCTCGCTCGCCGTCGAAACGAGAGAGAATGCGGAGGCGGAGAAGGAGGGGGAGGATCACGAAGAGCAGGGCGCGGAGGACGAGGAGGTACGGCCAGCGGAACCGCCTTCGCTTTGCTTCTGCCAGCCGCCGCCTAGGTCGAGATGTCAAACCCCCGAATCCTCGAAGACGATGCCCTTCTTGACTCTCTTGTGGGGCCGACTTTTTGCCTCCACCCGCCTCCTCTGGCGGAACTGCCCTGGCGCTGCTTCCTCCCGGCCACTGCCCAGGGCGAGACGTCAACCCATCGATTCTTCGAAGCGGCGGCCCGTCTTGGAGCACCACCCAGAACAGATCACTTGGATGCAGAAGCTCGGGGCGGCTCGGCGAAGCGATTGTGGGATCGATACTTGCCATGTCGTGGGGGAGCAGACGACCTCCCCGAGCCCGGCGGAGATCAAGAAACGATCGCGCGTGGAAGACGAGGCGGTTCGCTGTAGCCATCACGAGATCTGCCGCTCCAGTATTGCTTGAGTACCTGACGATGTGATATCATCGTATCGGCGCTACGCTACCTGCAGCAGCAGCAGCAGCAGCAGCAGCAGCAGCAGCAGCAGCAGCAGTAGCAGCAGCAGCAGCAGCAGCAGCAGCAGCAGCAGCAGCAGCAGCATCAGCATCAGCATCAGCATCAGCGTCAGCATCAGCATCAGCATCAGCGTCAGCAGCAGCAGCAGCAGCAGCAGCAGCAGCAGCAGCAGCAGCCGCGGCGGCGGCGGCGGCGGCGGCGGCAACAGCAGCAGCAGCAGAAGCAGCGCGCGCCGTTGTTCTACCAGCACTTTCGATTACCTCAATAAGCAAGGCAATGAACGCGTGAATCTCACCCGAAACGCCGGAGTAGCCGGAACAGTAGCTGGACGGGGGCACGGGGAGGAGGAGGATGGGAAAGACGCGCCCGACCACCTGGAAGAGAGGGCCTCGCGCCAGGCCTCGATGAATTAGCAATCGGGAGGGCGAGGACTGGGCGAACTCTGCAGCCACGGAGGGCCAGGAATCGCCGTGGGACCCAGGAGGCGCCGTGACGCTTCTGCCTCCTGCCCTCGTCCTCGTCCCCCCTCCTCCTCTCCCCTCCTCGTCGCCCCCTCCTCCTCCTGCCCTTCTCCTGCTCGTCCCCTCCTCCTCCTACTACCCTCGCCCTCGCTCTCGTTTCCACTCCTCCTTCCTCCTCCTCCCCCCTTTCCCCGCGTCCGTCCTCCGTCCTCCGTCCTCTGTCCTGCGTCCTCCGTCCTGCGGCCTCCCCGCTCCCTCTTCCTCCTGCGCCGAGGAAGGCGACCTGAGCCGTGCCGACTCCCTTGCCGTATGGTCCGCACCATGTACTTGCCCGAAGCATGGTGCTCACTGGTGGTGGCCCTCTTTGTGAGACCTGGTTCCCTGCATGGTGGGCGGAACTCCCCGGCGCGCCCCCAATCCGCACCCATGAGGCTGAACGGGGCGTTAGCACGGCCACCGCGCGGGAGGCTCGGCAGTTGACCATCGGCAACGCTCTCCTGACCGCGCGGGTCATCTTACTTGCCGGGCATGCCAAGGTTGGCACCAGCGGTTGGATGGAGCATTTTCAGTCTTGCGGATGGGAAGCGCGTGCTCCAAACTCTTTCTCTTGTGCTCCGCTCCAAGCGCTCATGCTGGCGCCCATCACGCACGCAGCCGAGGTGGACCAGTGCGAGTTCGGCCAAGCTGTCCGTGTTCCCACGCGCTTCCTTGGATCGAGCATGCAGCTCGTCTTCGAAAGCCGTACTGGCAGGCCCGGTCATGGGAAACCTTCCCACGGCAGGAACGCCCATCGGGAGCAGCAGGGGCGGGGCTCCAAGGCCACGGAAGGGAAACCAAACAGTACGAACATGCATCCGCCCGTATTATAATTATACCCAAAAAACCACATACGCATAAACTTTTGGCGCTCCGCGCGGATTTCTTGGACTCGCGCTGGACGCCCCTCCCTGGCGCGCGGAGCGCGCCAGGGGCGGCGCCGGAGGCGCCGCGGGCCCCGGGGCGCATCCAAGAAATCCGCGCGGAGCGCCAACAATTTATATTTATATGGATTTTGTTTCTTCGAATAATGTGCCGCAATTGCCAGGTCGACATGTCTTACCGTTCAAGCCCTATGGGAGCCAGTCGAACACGTATATCGCTGCCGCGTGACATTTCAGGGCCGCGGCTGGCAATGATTGTCATTTTGGGTGTACCAGCCTATCTGCGAAGAGCGGCCTCCAGGACATTCGCTCAAGCTGCTGTGTGAACGGAGAGCGCTCCAGGAGTGTACTCCGTGACATCGCTCTACTGCGAAATCTTGCTCGTCGGGTCATCGCAAAAGCGCGCGACGCACCGAGTCCGCACCATGTCAGGTCCGAGCGCAAGTGATGGTCATTTTGGATGTACCAACCCGTCCGTGGATGACGGCTCCCAGGACTCTCGAGAGTTCTGATGTTGCATACCCTGGTGCCGTCCACTTTGTGATATTCAGCTGTAGTTGATTGCTGGTTGGGCTGTCGTTGGCCCCCTCTGCTTCACAGTCGTGCAGCGGATGTTTCTCAAGGACTGTGCTTCGTGGCCTCTCGCTTGACTTGCCGACTTCGCGTCGTGCTTCGCTGATTCGGATGTTTCCGTTGTGCAATCAACCCGTCTGATACGGTTGCGCGGTAAGGATGCAAGGGCCTTGGAAGGCCATGTCGGCGTTTTCGAACGGGGCTGGCCAGAGAAAGTCGCCAATGATGGGCCGACGGGGCAAGGAATCAAGGGTAACCTTGGAAAGTTGCTCATCCTTGCTATGCGGGTGTACTGTACTGCTTCTACTTGGCGTGGCTGTCGCCATTCCGCGTCCTCTCGTTGGCCTGCTCTGGGCCGCCTGGCGTCTCATTGCTGGGTGCCTCCCATTGCTTCCAGGGGGCGCGCGGGAAGTGCCGCGCACCCCTGTTCTTACCTAGGCCCTGGGGAAACAAGAGCCCACCGATCATCGGCGCACAGACTGCTGCAATGTCGCGCCCGACCAACCTCCTCCTCCTCCTCCTTCCTCGTCCTCCTCCTCCTCCGTCGTCCTCCTCCGTCGTCCTCCTCCTCCTCCGTCGTCCTCCTCCTCCTCCGTCCACCTCCGTCCTCCTTCGTCCTCCTCCTCCTCCTCCTACTCCTCCTCCTCCGTCCTCCGTCCTCCGCCTCCTCCTCGACGCGTCCGCTATGTGCCGCCCCTCCGGCGCGCCCTGGGCCTCTGCGCCTCGCCGCGCCGGCGCACGCCAGGTCGCATTGCGGCACGCACCGCGACACCCGCTGGCTGCTCGGACTCTTGGCCAGCCGCTGCTGCCGCTGGCCGTGACGACCCTCTCCGCGCTGGGCGGAGCCGTCCTCGCTACCCGGTGCCTCCCGCTCGGGCTGGACACTTTTTTGATCCGCGGGTCGAGAGCGAGCCTCTTCCGATAGAAGCTAAGCGGGCCACGCACAGCTTTAATCAGCAGAGGGGGGGCAAAAGAGTCGGGCTGGACACAGGCACCCCCGTCGTGCAAGCAGATGGTCGTTCTGATCACGGAAATGCTGCTCCTCGCTTCGGGCCTGCCGTGTCTCGTGCCGGTGCCGGGCCTCACCTCTCGATCGTGCCTCGGCGGGCGGGAGGATGCCGATGTGGGCGGGGATGGGAGGCGCAGCCTGGCGCTGCAGAGCCTCTCCCTGATGCTCGAGAGCCTCGCCCTGAACTCGCCATCGCTCGGACGTCCATTCCTCGTGTCTTTTTCGATTTCGTGCATGTTCTATTCGCCAAATGATCAAGGATGGTCCTCGATGGCCGTCGCCGAGAAAAAATGCACAGGTCCGAGCAATGCCAAGTGAAGGACCTCATCCGGGAACTGCCGATCTCCACCCAGACGTCGAACAAGTACCTGGAGGTACCGAGCCAAATCCTGGAGCTGTGGTGCCACATCTGCTGGATCACGGGCTCATTTCGATGCTGTGCATCCACGGGCCGGCGCGCGTAGCGGTGGTGATCGGACGCCCCATCCTGGAACCGCCGATCATTGGTCCCAGTGCCAGGGAGCCCCGTAGTGCGGGTGCGCTTCGTTGGCCCCAAAGTGGTGATGCTGGAGAGCCTCGGCTGGGCCGTTGGGATGACAGCCGCGTAAGGCTATGGCGAAGCCGTCCACGCCCTTGTCCGGGAAGGACGACACAGTCTGGGACCCCTCCTAGTTTGCCGCTGGCACCTCCAGAGGCGACATCCCTGAAGCAGAGCTGCTGAATCGGAGGGGCGATGCCGAGACCGACCAGCGTATCGCGGCCGTGATTGCGGTGCAGGGCGGGCTCGCGGCTGCCCGGAGGCGTCGCGCTGCTCGCAGGATCCAGGTCGTTTCGAAGCTATTGTCGCCGTTGTCTTCGACGTCTTCGGCAACAACTGCCGCGGCGGCCGCGGCAGCCACAGTTCGCAGCGGTCGGCATCGCCATCAACATCAATGGCATGGTTGACTGCGCTGGAATTGGGCTCGCCGTCAGCACTATTTCGAGCGTGCCCAAGCCTAAAGCTTCAGGTGAGGCGCCGCCAACTATGAGTGACTGCGACGTGCTGTTCCGCTTCGCCATGCGATGGTGGGTGAGGGCAGGGCCCTTGTCTAGCCTCCCACCAGCCTCCGTCCAGTTAGGGGCCGAATAGTCAACAGAAGCTGCGCCCAAACCTTGATTTCCAATGTTGCACCTCCTGTTCTACTCAGTGGGTCGCCCCGGCCCAGCCCACTCCTCTCTGCTGCATTTTTTTTTGGCTGCCGAGCCAACCAAAAGACGCGTCACGAAGCTCGGCCCCTAATAGCAAGCCTGTCCCGGCCGCGTGGCCGATAGCTTGCTCCCCCAGATGATGCGCAGGCTCCCGTGAGGCCGAACATGTGAAGTGCAAACAGAATGCGCCACCCCCCTGTAATGAGGCGCAGGGTCAGTCCCCTTTCGTCGCGGCACAGCATGCAATTTGGCACTGCAGAACGCATCTTCTGAGGTCTTTTTGGTAGTGGCCACTCGCCTCGTCGGTGACTTTTCTCGCCAAGGAGGCCTCCTCGTCCTGGGTCGCCCCCCATTTCGCACTCCCCTTGGCACGGCGCGGTCTCTGTCAGCGCGTCCTGTCCCCCTTTCGACCAGATTTGCTTGATCGCAATGGCTCCCCTAGCCTGTGCCATCCGTGCACTTGTCTTGAGGCGGAGCCTCGCCTCTTCGCGCGGACTCCGTGGCTCCTCGATCTGATGATGGCTTGGCGTGGCCGATCGGCTTTCATGCGGAAGCCGTCGTGGAGACATCGCTCATAGCCTCAAAGCCTTGAAACCCAGGCAACCTGGGCAAACAAATGATGTCCACGAGCACACAGTGCACAGAAATGATCAAAGAGAGGGCGAGAGTCCAGGGCCTCGCCCTCCTGGCGGCGTCCTGTCCCCCCTCCTCCTCCTCCTCCTCCTCCTCCTCCTCCTCCTCCTACTTCTCCTCTTCCTCCTCCTCCTCCTCGTCCTCCTCGTCCCCTAGTCCGCTCCTCCTCGCCCTCTTTCTCCTCCTCGTCCTCTAGTTTGCTCCTCCTCCTCCTCGTCCTCCTCCACCTCCTTCTCCTCCTCGTCCCCCAGTCCGCTCCTCCAACTCCTCCCCTCCTCCTCCTCCTCCTCCTCCTCCTCCTCCTCCTCCTCCTCCTCCTCCTCCTCCTCCAACTCCAACTCCTCCTTCTCCCCCTCCTCCTCCTCCTCCTCCTCCTCCTCCTCCTCCTCCCTCCTCCTCCTCCTCCTCCTCCTCCTCCTCCTCCTCCTCCTCCTCCTCCCCCCCAGTCCGCTCCTCCTCCTCCTCCTCTTCCTCCTCCTCGTCCTCTAGTCCGCTCCTCCTCCTCCTCCTCCTCCTCCTCCTCGGACCTGCAGGTCGGAGATCGACGGGCCGCCACTGCGTCGGCCTGCACACCTGGTGCCCCGGCTAACCCTGAAAGGCGCGCCTGCTCGGTGAGAGAGGGATTCGGGTGGGAACGGGAGGCGTGGTGAAACTAGCAGGCGTAGTCCGCTCCTCCTCCTCCACCTCCTCCTCCTCCTCGTTCTCCTTCTCCTCCTCGCCCTCCTCGTCGTCCTCCTCCTTCCTCTTCGTCGTCGTCATCGCCGTCGCCGTCGCCGTCGCCGTCGCCGTCGCCGTCGCCGTCGCCGTCGCCGTCGCCGTCGTCGTCGTCGTCGTCGTCGTCGTCGTCGTCGTCGTCGTCGTCGTCGTCGTCGTCGTCGTCGTCGTCCTTCTCCTCCTCCTCGTTCTCCCTCTCCTCCTCCTCCCCCTCGACGGCCGAAAGCGGGCGCGGGGCTCGGCACGGCGAGCGGCCCGTCCGCCTCCGCGCTGCCCAGGCAGCCCACCTGGGGGGGGGTATCC